CGACTTCAAATTTTTCTGTTTTTTCGTTTTTTCTATCTCCCTTTTTATTTATATTTTCTCTTTTTCCAAAAATTCGAATTATCTTCTTCCCCACCTTCTTTTCTCATTTTCTGATTTATTTCATTTATTGTTTTATTTATTCTGAAAATTCGATTTTCTTTACGGCAACCCTAAATCTGATTAGGTGTTAGTCTTTACTACTTTCGGCACACGTTTTAACCCCGTGGGGGTAACGAAGTGCTGCTGAAATTTTCTGTTTTTCTCCCACTTAGTCTTCTCGGCACACTTCGACCCCATGGGGGTAACGAAATGTTGCCGAAATTTTTGACAAATCAGATACTTCATTTCTCCCTACCTCCTCACCCACTTATTTACTTATTTATTTATTTATTTTTTATTTTTTTATTTATTTTTGAAAATTCTTTTTATTTGCGGCATCTTGAAACCTAGTGTGCTCACCTTGATCCGCCCTTTCCCTTGGCACATTCTTGACCCCATGGGGGGTAGGGAAATGCTGCCAAAAATTTCAAAAAAATAAATATTATTTTTCTTTTCACATTTTGTTTACTTCTTCTCTTAATTATTTTTATTATTTATTTTCTTTTGTTTTTCTCTTAAAATATCGTTGTTTTTTTTTTTTTCTTCCCGCCTCCCCCCCCTATGCTTGCTATTTTATTTTTTCGATTAGGTCACCGGAACCCTACCCTAACCACTTAAACTTCGGTTAGGGTTTTCTTAGGGTTTTTCTAGGGTTTAGGGTTCTTCAAAACCCCCCTACTTTCCCTTCCTCTTCGGGCACCCCGGACCCGAACCACCCCTCCCCCTTTGACGGCGCCCGCGCTAGCCTTGCTAACGTCGTCCGCCGCTTTCTACCGCGGAGTCCCCCCTACGCCCTCCGCTCACGCGGACCTCTCCTGACCCCCTCCAGTCCGTCCCGTCACCTTCCCATGGCCGACGGCGCGTCACACGTCGCCGACGCGGCGACGACCACGACACAGGGCTCCACACCCGTGCCGACGGACCAGGGCCACCAGCCCTAGGGGGATCTACACACCCTCCTCACCTCCCTCCTTGCGTCCATCCAGGCGCAACTCGCGACCCTCGCGCCCTTACAGGCGCAGGTGGAGACCCTTGCTGCCGGCGTGCAACAATTCCAAAACGCTGTGTGTCCTCCATCTCCTGGCTCCCAGTCCGGGTCCCACGTCCTCCGACAGGGTGGCCACGGTGGAGCTTCCTCCTCCGCTGCCCCCGACCCGGCCATCTTGGTGACCGTCCACGCCCCTAGCACGACGGCCGCCACGATTCAGGTCCTCCCTCAGTCTACGGGCGCACCTGCCCAAACCCAGGTCACTACGACCACGGTACCACAACCCGCTACCATGGTCGCAACTTTTCTGGGTGCCCCACTTCTCCCTCCTCTTCGCACGACCGCAGCGCCATCTAGCTCTCCCCATTGTGGGATGCCTCGCGTCGCTCGTGCGTCTCCCCCTGCCACACCTCGCTCGACCTACGTTCGAGGTCTCGAGGACGAGATCGCCCAGCTGCGGACCGACCTCGCCCTCTCACGCCTTCAGCCACCCCCACCCTCGCAGGTGGCCGCGCCTTCCGGCGCACCCCCTTCTTCCTCTATTCTTCCTTCCATGCAGGCTAGCTTCCCTCGCCCTGCACCCTACCCATCCCCATCCTACCTCCTCCCCTTCCCCTCGGTTGTTGCGACCTCTTCTACCGCAGCTCCCGTGCAGCCTGCCGCTGTTTCCCCCGCCGCTCCACCATGCGGCCCGGGCGTACAGTCAACTGCGCCTCCTCCTCCAGGACCTGCGCCGACTTATTCAGCCGTAGCGCAGTCCCCTGCTTCCCGTTCTCCTCGCCGCCAAAACGGTGGCGCACCACTCATTCGCTTGACGGACATTGCCTTGTATGACGTTAAAGGCATATGCGTGTCTCGGTGGCTACAGTCTGCCACCCACACTCTCCAGCTCATGGGTGCCGCACCCGACGTGTGGGTGGCTCACCTCTCCACACGCCTGCGTGGCGGTCCTTCCGACGCCTGGGAGGATTTCTACGCTTACTCCGTTCGTGCGGGTCGGACTCCGACCTTCATGGATTTCTAGGCGTTCCTCGAGGATCGCTTCGGAGCCCGATATGACGTGACTGACGCCTTCGAGCGTGTCGTCACTACACGCTAGTTCGGCTCTGGTGGCGCTACCGGTCTGGATCGCCACATCCAGGTCTTTCAAGACGCCCGCCTCATTTGTGACATGGCGTTCCTCCCCGAGGAGGCCCTTATCGATCGTTTCTTGGCCAGCCTTCTGCTCGAGTACCGCTCCGAGCTATGGTGGTACGAGTTCACATCGGCCCCGCAGGCTTACGAGGCCGCCAGGGACCATCAGCGGATGCGGGCCCATCTTCATCCCGCCCCCTCCTCCCAGCCACAGCGTACTGGTTACGCCTCCTCCTCCTCTCACGGCACTTCCCAGCGCCGTTCCCCTTTCCGCGGTCGCCCCCGCTGTTCCGCGCAGCAGGGCCGCCATTTCTCGCGCCGCTTCAGCGCGCTCGAGTATGGTGAGCAGGACGCTGGTGCCCCGCTGTCGCCAGAGGGTGACCATAGCGACAACCTCGACCTTGGCGAGGCCGTCCAGCACCACCTGCAGGACCCTACTCTCTCTATGGCTGAGCGCCTCCAGCTCATCCTCTCCACCCTTTCCCGGGCACGCAGCCGCCCTGGTCACGCTGGCGCGTCGCCCCCCGAGGTCCCTCAGCAGGACCTCCCTCAGGGCTTTGTCCCTCCTCTCGGTGTCCTTTCCGTTGAGGAGCGCACGGCTATTTTGGGTCGACGTGGATGTTTGCGATGCCGTCAGGACGGTCATATCTCCTCGCGGTGCCCTTACACCACCGCCCTTGACCGCCACTACGCTGACCTTTCCCGCCAGCGTCCTGCTCAGTCCCCCCCCGGCGCCTCGCATCCCCGCGGCGCCTTCTAGCCACGGTGCAGTGTACACCTGCGCCCCCCTCAGTAGTGGGCTTCCCGACATCTCCGTCGCGGTTCGCCCCTCTCGCTACTGGAGTTGAGGTATCGCAGGACTCGATAGAGTGTACTCAGCCCTCTGTCGCAGTACCGTCTGCGCCTCCGCAAACCACCGTCTCCCCTCCTTCCCCACCGTGACTACCGACGCGTCGAGCCATTCGCTCAGCCCGTTGCAGCGAGCAGCTTGCGACTCGCGAGGACGTTGTGTCCTCTCTTCTGGACTTGAGCATGCTCCAGGTTCGTAAGGAGCGACTCACCCTCCATGTCGCTGCCATGCGCCGCCTTCTTACCATCCTCTCTGACCCTGATCGCACCCTCCCGATCATCCCAGTACGACTGGGGACCTCCACGAGGGTGTACTCAGCACTGTGGGATGCCGATTCTCAAAGCGACTTCATTCACCCCCGTGTGGTGAAAGAAGCCCGCTTACCTACGACCGGGTCTCCGACTCCCATCTCCGTTACCCTAGGAGATGACAAGACCCAGCGCTTCTTCGATCAGACGGTCACCGACCTCCCTTTCTTCCTCATCCTCGAACCGACTGATCGTCCCTCGGCGTCTCGTCGCCACCGCTCCTCTGCACATTTCGATGTGATGGAGACAGGGTACGACTTCATTCTCGGCACTCCGTGGTCTCGTCGGTTCCGCAGCACCGAGGCTGATTGGACGACCAACACTCTCGTTCTTAAAACGAAGTGTGGACAGACGTATCGCGTATCTTTCATAGGTACCACTGCGACACCACGCCCCGATCCTCCTCCCCCGGAGCCTTCTGTGCCCACACCATCTCCTTCTATCACTGTCACTTCGCCTCGGCAGTTCGCCCACTTCATCCGACAGGACGACGTCACCTTCCTTATGGTGAACGTGACGGATCTCTTACACTATGATCCACCTTGTCCCGACGCCGAGCTCATCCCTCTGGAGCCAGATCCTCCTTCTATCTCCATGGATCCCATCTCTACTTCCGCCCCTCCACCGTCCGTCGAGTCCACCCCGTCGTCGCGCACTGACGCTGACGCTGAGGAACTCGCACGATATACGACTGACCTGGAGCCCGCAGTCCGTGCCCTCATTCGAGAGTACCACGACGTTTTTCCATCGTCGTTCTCGTACGCCGACATCCCGCCGATGCGCGACGTCGAGCACTCCATCCAGCTTGTGCCTGACTATCGTGTTCACCCTCAGGCACCCTACAGACTCTCGATCCTCGAGGCCACCGAACTCAAGCGTCAGCTTGAGGAGGTCCTGAGACTGGGTTTCATTAAACCCAGCAACTCCCCGTGGGGTGCACTCGTCCTTTTCGCTCGCAAAGCGGATGAAACTCTTCGTCTCTGCATCGACTATCGCGGTCTTAACCGCTACACGGTTAAGAACAGCTACCCCATGCCTCGTTCCGATGAGCTGTTCGACCGCCTAGCAGGCAACCGCTTCTTTATGAAGATTGATCTTCTTAAAGGTTACCATCAGATCCGCGTCGCTGCAGCCGACCAGCCGAAGACGGCGTTCCAATCGCGCTTCGGCCATTACGAGTTTACAGGGATGCCATTCGGCCTCACCAATGCACCCGCTACCTTCTAGAGGGCGATGAACGACATCTTCAGGGACATCCTGGAGCAGTTTGTTCTCGTCTACCTCGACGATATCCTGGTCTACAGTCGTACCCTCGAGGAGCACCTCAGACACGTCCGCGACGTCCTTCACCGCTTGCGCAGACATGACTTCTACGCCAAGCTGAGCAAGTGCCGCTTTGCCCAACACAAAGTGAATTTCTTAGGACACTACGTGTCTGACCACGGTTTCTACATGGACGACGCGAAGATCACTGCTATTGCGGAGTGGCCCACTCCCACATCGGCCAAGCAGCTTCGAAGCTTCCTAGGCATCACCAGCTACTATAGTAATTTCATCCGGGGATACGCTAGGTATTCCTACGTCCTTACCTCCACCCTCCTCCGGAAGAACCCACCCTGGGCTTGGACACCCCTCCACGAGGACGCCTTCCGCGCCCTCAAGAAGGCGGTGACATGCGCACCGGTTTTTCACCTACCCAATTTTCATCGCCCTCTTATCCTTACCACCGATGCGTCAGACTTCGCTGTAGGAGCAGTACTTTCTCAGGTCTTCCCCTC